GGATAATATCAGAATAATATCAAACTAACGTAACTAAGGAACTGCTTGCTATAGCTGAATCAACTCACTTGTGGACACTGTAAGAGGGACGTTCTACATGTAGTTACAGACAGCTCTCTCTAAATTATATTGAYTATTAGAAATTTGATCTATTTTGTTTATTTTCTTAGGTTCATTTTGATGCTTACAATAAAAAGTTTGGATCAGATGGCTTTCATGATCCTCTAAATTGGGTCAACACTGAGGTACATAGTACTCTAATTGAATATGTWCATGTATATTGAATAGTTCAACAATTGTAAGTTAAAAGGGAACCATTGTAAATTACGCAGAGTTCGTCTGTTGTAATATTTTACTATTCATCTATGAGGGCATTCCTCATTAAAATGAATTTCTTTTGCCCTGCCACCAATGAGGAAAGTCAGCACAAAGGTTATGTCCAGCCTAGTTGTAAAGTTTAACATTAATATGTATGTTCTGTTCTGTGTGATAGGAAGAGGTTAATCAATTCAAAGCACAATTCATCCACAACCATATGATTGAGACAGAAATCAAGGACAGTGTGTATCTTTTGAAAATTTATATTTTAATGATTATAGCATTTTTACGACACAAAAAATAGAGCTTAAAATTGTTATTTACGTTTTCTGAAAATTTGATTTGTATGTTGATTGATACAATAATCTTTTACTTAAATTTTAGTCATTAATCTCTTGTTGATATCTTTGCATGTTAAAAGCCTTGACATTGCACTAGAATGATGCGCTGGTTGAATACTTTACCTGGCCATACATATAGTAATGCAGGAATGGAAGAGATAGGAACAATTACTCGACCAATGCCCAATGARGATGAGACCCAAAACATTCAAGATGGCGTGACACCACCTGTTGCTGAGGAGAGTACATGACATTGTCACTATGTTAACATATTGTAGGACACTCATAGCTAATGTGACTGGTTTGAATTGGTTTAAAGATAACAGAGCATAGCATAATATTACATAACAAACAGAGATAGCACAGTCATGATGTTGAAGTACTGTTCAAGTCTCTTCAAGCTGCACATATTTTTGACCAAGTCAGTTTGGAAAATTCATCCTTAATAAAGACGTTGAACTTAAAAATAAAAATCTGGTGATTAGTGTGGAATCAGCACCTCAGTGAGGGTGTATCTAGGACCCTCCTGATTGCCTCCCTTTCCCCTTATCAAAGCAAAATAACTGATTATTGATGAAGAAGATTTGATCTGAGAATTAATATAATGTGAGCAATCCAATGATGAAACCTGGATGTGCCCCTTACTTCCATTGCTCAAGAGTCTTAGTAAGATGAGCATTATACATATGCCCAAATTGTTCATGTTTTTGGATACCAAATAATACTAAGATATTTGCAATTTGTAACTGGATGTTTTGACAGAGGACTGCTGTCATTAGCAGCAAGTATATTGATTGGATGCATTCTTCATTGATRTATTATTTGTCAAAACTGTGAGTTATAATTGTCCATAATATTTATTTTAGAAACCTCTAGCAACCTCTAGCTTTGATCGACGTCCATTGAACTCTCTGAACAAAGAAATCAAAATATTTAGGTAATAATTCGTAGTTTTTAGCATATAAACAATGTGCGCATTTTGACATTTCAAATGCCATTGTAAATGAATCAGAGATCATTTAAAAAATAATAATTATTATTCACTTCATTTTTTCTTAATTCTCTTTATTTGTACTTCACCAAACTTTTATAGTATTCTTGTATACAATGTAAAATTAAAAGATTAATTGGAAGAAATSATGGAGTTTTATTCCTTTTTTTAGACTTGTAGCAATCACTTAGAGCTCCATTGTACTGGAGATCTTGAATTAAAAAAGCGAGAAATGGGTGAAAAAATGCATGGGATTGAAATGGGAAATCAATGAAAACTAACTCATAAATCGAAATCAGATGCATTTTGGATACATTTTGGGATGRGATAATGGTGAGCTGAAAAATGAAA